TGGATTTCAAAAGTGATTGACCACTAATGGCAACTGGGGAAAAAAAAGTGGTTCAGTTCCTGCTGGTGCAGAATAGCTTCTTGAAAGCAAGGATTCCAGCAATCGCACCCAAGCTGACAGGGCTGATTGGCGCCGTGGTCCTGAATATGCGCTGGAGCTGGACCTGCTCCTGCCGCTGTTTGTGTTATATTAGGCTTAAGGGCAGCCGCTGGTGGCCAATCTGTGTGCCTCTGTGGAAATCTTGCATAAAGTTAAAAGTTTTTGAAGTTGCACAGATGGGTGTCTTATTATTTCCCTCTTGATTTGCTAATACATCGCTCCACAAATATCCCCAAAACTTCAACTCAAGTTTTCACTTGTTGAGTTTGGTGTGGATTGATTTCCATGCTAGTTGAGTGGCTTCCTGAAATAAACCTAAACGAGTTAATTTAGTTTGACATGGAAAAGCTGACGTCTTTCTGTTCTTTCTCTTTTGCTTTTCTGTTTTCAAGGCAAAAAAAATGAAATTGATTCTGGTGGCTGAACCTTTATAGGCTGCATTTAAAGCACGGTTTGGTAAAGTTAATAAAAACAATTATTTAAGTATGTTTGAGGTACAGATAAATATGGCCAAAGAAAATACAGTAGGGAACAGTTTTTCCTAATACTGTAAGTAATCAATAATTTTAAAGAAAGTTAACCAATAATAGAACAGTGTTTAATTGAAGTATGCACTATAAAAATTATAAATCACATTTCTACTTTAGTTTTTATACTTAAGATAAATATAAATAAAAAAATTATAAATAATAATAATATGATTTTTTGCAAATCGATTAATTTATTGATTATTTTTTTGATTAATGATCGGATAACCAAAGGTTACCAGGGGAAAGTAAAACGTTTCCACTTGAAAAATTCTGCATAGAGCAGATTGATGGATGAAATTGTTTTTTTTTATTTAAAATGCAAAATATTTACATATTTTTTTTTTACAATTTACTGCTCTAAGTGGGTCACTCTGTCAGCTAAAGACAAGTCTCTATAATCCCCTTAACGATTAATCGATTACTAAAATAGTTGACGATTATTTAAAAAATGTATTAATCATGATGAATCCGATGAATTGTTTCAGCCCTAATAATTATAATAATTATAATAATTATAATAATAAATAGGGGCGGAACAATTGGATAATTGGATTATGAACAATTATCGAATATTAACATGAAAATCTGTAGGAACCATGTATTACATGTGGGCTCCGGTGTCACTAAACTGTGATGCAAACACAAACATTTAGCAAATGCGCTAAATTCAGGTTTAGAAAGTAAATTGCCTGCCTAGTTTTCTTCACCTTAACCAGGTGGTTTTAACCATCGGTCTCAAAATCAAACCTTAGAAGGCCAGTGTCCTTAAGTCTTTAAATGTCTCCCTTGTAGGAATGAGCCGGTGTGAAAATCTAACAGGATGTTCCAGTTTTATGGCATCATGTTGCTGTTCTTATAGCACTAAATTGAGTTCTTTCAAAATATATGAATTAAAGAAACATAAAAAAATGAAATGTTTGCTGAGGTGGAACACCTGTTGCTCCCAGATCCCCTTCTCTTCTAAAAGAACAATTCAGACAGAGTAGAATTTAACCTAAATTCCCAATTAAATTGACAATTAGCAGCATAAACTCTTTAATCATAGCCAACTTTAATTGTCAGCTAAAGCTGTTTTTAGATCAAAGTGTCATGATGAAATTTCTCTCTCTTACAGGGTCTCATTCCTCTTTAACATTTGTTTCATACTTTGCTCTTTTGCACCTAATACAATTAAGCTATAGTGATGAACAAAGCTTAAATATAATAAGGTGTTTCCACTGCCTGCATAGCCAAGACAAACCAGACTATTCTTAAATTTTTTGTTGTGTTTTAGATAAAGATGGATCCATTTGATTTAATCATCATTATCTGTCCCAATACTAAAGGAAAGGGTAGATCAGGCATAGGTGAGAATTGGCCCTATCCAAATGTTATTTAATCTATTTTTATAATAAGTTTTAGTAAGATTAAAAATCTCTTCTTCAATTCAATTCAATTCAATTAAGTTTATTTATATGGCACCAATTCACAACACAAGTCATCTCAAGGCATTTTCCAGTTCAACCAGATCATACAGTCAAATTGATTCAAAGGTGTCTAAGGAAAACCAGTTGATTGCATCGACTCATTGACTGAAATGCAATCTCTCACACTAAGCATGCTTGTAGTGACAGTGGAGAGGAAAAACTCTCTTTTAACAGGAAGAAACCTCCAGCAGAACCAGGTTCAGTGTGAGCGGCCATCTACTGAGGCCGACTGGGGTTCAAGGAAACAGAAGCAGAGATACAAAAAGCAGCTGTAAAAGGCGGACCCGTCCAGGAAACACACAGCCAGGCAGATGAGCTCTGAGCCAGCTCCCCGGTCAGAGGATGAAGAAAGCACATCCAGCCAGTCACGGTCAGAGAAACAGGACCACACTGGAAAACAGGCCGATCTCCAACTTCTATTAACAAAGGTGTTGATGGAAGCAGCACAGCTGATATTTCTCTCCAGGATGGAGTCACAGCCAAACAGGAACAGACGAGGCAAACAGCAGATTATTAAAATTTGTCTTAGGTTTCATTAATGTAGTCAAACTAGAATAATGTAACCCGCACATTTCAGTTCTCAGGATGGACAAAACATACCGTATTTTAAGTTTGACTGTCTCTAAAAAAAAAATCCCCACACTAATATTGATAAAAATAAAAAGCGTCAGGATTGGCAAATATCCAAACTCCTCGTGTTTGAATCAGACCTCAAGTGAACAGCTCATCAGTTCATAGCAGAATCAAAACAAAAACCAGGTATAAAGGAACATGTCAGTGTGATTCTGGTCATGGCAATCACAAAATAGGCTTAAATTGGAAGGCAAATGGACTTTCGCTCAGTTTTTTTGGAAGAAGTTTCAACACCTGTCCAGAAGTCTGAGAATTCTGCCCCTTTAATACATCAGCGCTCCACAAAGGTATGGAAACGTCTTCTAAAGAACTGAGCGAAAGTTCGGGTCCCTTACATTTCAGGCCAGTTGTGACCAGCACAGTCACCAAGCTGTCTACTCCAGTAACATACTGGTTTTCATTTTGCTAAAGGTAGCTTGTTCGTTCTTAGAAAGCATTATCTCATCCACTTTTCTGGAAATGCTAATGATTGGAAATAATTTCTACGCAGGCCTTTTCCTTTCTGAACATAAATTGTCCACGTATGTAAATTAGTCAGTAGTTCTCTTAAAAAAAAAAAAAAAAAAAAAACTTAACTTGATTCTAGTTTGGCTGTAGCGGTCCAGTAAGGCAGAAACTCAAACGTTTTGCTGTTGAAACGTGTTTTGATAAAACATTTTTCCTCAAATATATTCATTGTGTTTTTAAAGCTCAGGTACTTCTATTATGTTTAATTTATTTTCTTTAAGTTCTCCTCTTTAGCTTTCTCAAAAATATTTTTTCATTAGATAATAGGTAAGGATTACTTAAGTGCAACTAATGGTTTATATCCCTCATTTTATTGGTCCATATGTCCTGGAGGGGCTGAAGTCCTTTAACTATGTTGTCCTGCGGGCAACATAGTTGAATCAAATGGCTGCATGACCTCCTCAGCATGCAGCCGGGTTCCAGAGTCCTGCTAATGACCTAATTATTTGATCTAGGTGTGCTGAAGCAGAGAGACATCGAAAACCTGCAGGACACAAAAACTGCAGTTTGACACCTGGGGTTTAAAGGACTGCAGATCCGTTTGGCGAATTTTGTCTCCTTATATCCTAATCTCTCTTTTTCAATTTTGACGTGATGCCCATTTTCGTTGTTTTTCATTTCTCTTTTTAGTTGAGTATCTCCCTTATGTTTAGTCAGAATAACCACCAAAACAATCAAATCTTTAATATTACACGTTTTCTCATGTTTTTAAACAGATTATCATTTCTGATCAGAAGATATCTCTCAGTAACCTGCTGTTAAATGTTGAGTTGGATGATCTCACTTTCTGGCAAATGTGTGTATTAAAAGGAAATACCTGAAACAATCTGCTATGAGAGGGGGTGGACATTTTGCCTCCATTCGCACCCTGGTTGGTGCGAATGGAGGCATGGATGGTGGAAACGTTTTGAAAGAGAGACTTTTATTTTATACCTCGAAAAACGGGTAAAAATGAGCAACATATTTGCTTTCCAAAGCCTTTGACTATATATGTCTTCATTTTAAAGAAATTAATGTGACCTGATCACTTCGTCTTTTCAGATGTTGTAATAAAATCTTGATTTATAAAGATAAAGTTGCTGGTTAGCTTTTTTTTTTTTCTTGTTTTATAATTAGTCTTTTCTTTCATAACTATAATCTGCTTGGATTTATGCTCAAACAGATTCAATTTATTGCATTTTTTTATTTAAACTGATTCCTGTGCAGAAGGCAAAGCATTCGACGAATATCACCTCCAAATCAGAACTTTATGGCCTCAGATGATCAATCTAAATTTTATTTAAGGTGAACTGATTCAGCTGTTATTGATTCCTCAGGATAGATTTAGTTTAAAATGCTGAAGACAGGATGCGGACAGGATGAACTGCTGAGGAATGGAGCAGAGAACGAATAAATCAGATCAGACTTGAAAAGTGAACCCGTGCAGTCCAGGGGTCTTGACTTGTGTCTCTCTGACCTCCAAATTTTCTTTTCCTCTTGTCTTTTTCACCTGTTCTCCGTTTATTGCTCCCATGCTTCTCTGTTTTGGCTCCTGCTGCCATAGCAACCACCGCTTTCTGTTTTCGGTCCGAGTTGTAGTGCAGTTTTTAAGGTCCAGCTTGACATGGCACCACTTGTTTCATTTACGGATACTGTCAGAGGAGTACAGAACCCCCTCCGTCAGCTGCACCTCACGGTGCTCTCTTTGCATCGGTGTCCTGAAGCACTCTTCAGGTTCATGGATTCCTGTCACACAGCTTTACGGACATTTCTTTTTACTTTTCAGACACCTGAGAAGAATACTCCGAGTGCTGCTGGTTCCAGAAAAGTTCAATACAAAGAAGATAGAAGAAGCGAGGAGGAAGAGAAGGACGGAGGAGGAGGTGGAAGCTCAAAATAAAGCCCCGCCCACCCCGGTGAAGCCCCTCCCCTTTGAGGAAGTGCTGTGAGTACCGTTACTTTCACTCCTTTCAAACATTGTACTTGCTGGCCTACCTCCTCATTTGTGACTTTGCCAAAACGTTCTGTCGTCCTTCTTTGTTCTGAAAGCACCCGGGTCTTAATCTTCCTGATTATTTAAACTAAGAATAGCCTTTTTATTCTGTTAGCATTCCCACCTTTGATCCTTTATTAGCCGTTATTAAGACCGTAAATTCTGTATCTAACTTAATTTTTCAGAATGTAGAAAGCTCATTTCAGTTAGGGCTGGGATAATTAATTGCATTTGCAATAAATTCATTATAGTCACAGTACACTTAAAAAGAACAAGACACTATATTTATTCCTCCAGCTCTTCAGGTGGGAGTTACACACTTTTTCCCCCCCGCCTCCCCTGTTTGTAAAAAGGAGCACTACCGCAGGTCGTTCATCCCTACTGCAACCAGACTCTACAATGTGACACTACAACAACAATAACTTGTGCAATATACAATGTGCATATTACTATTTGATACCCTGTGCAATAACCTATATATATATATATATATATATATATTAGTGCTGTCAAAATTATCGCGTTATTAACGCGTTAACGCGAGGCCATTTTAACGGCGATAATTTTTTTAACTTGAGATTAACGCTATGTGGTTTTATGGTACAATTTTTCCAAGTACATCCCGCTGCAGCCTGCGGGAAGGCGGGGCTATTTTCCCCCAGTCTATGCATTTTCCATAGGCTTCAAGAGCGGACCTCCTCAAGGGAAAAAGACGCTCATACACTGGGTAGCGCTAGTGCCTTTTCTTTAAGCCCCACCACCAACAAACAAGTTGAGTGTCTGGTAACTAGTAGCAACCTGAAATACGCTGAGAAAACTGATTACTGAGGTGAAATGGAATCTCGTAGCAGCACTCTTGCCGTCTGTGTACACCACAGGTCGGTATCGCGTGTGTGTGTGTGTGGGTGGGTGTGTGTGTGTGTGGGTGAGTGGGTGTGTGTGTGTGTGTGTGGGTGAGTGGGTGTGTGTGTGTTCTCATTTTTGTTAAGAGGCTGAAAAGTAACTTTCTAGAGAGCATAGACTACCTTCATCTAGTGATGTCGGTCTATTGATTTTGATGTATTGATTGAAAATTGTTCATTATTACCTTGGTTAATTAACATCTAATGTTAACTCTACTAAATTTTATAGCAGTAGGATAAAATGCTTGTCTTTGTTCAAAAGACTGTATTAACTGTAAAGACTGTCTTTTACATCAGCCTGTTTTCAGGGCCTTTTTTTTGGCTACATATTTGTTATTTTTTGCTACATGCCTCCCCATCTTCTTGCCATATGTTTCTATGGCATAAATCAGTATCTGTGACCTGTTTTCATTTTAAAAAAAGAACATTGGCACAAACCTAGCCTGTATGTATTTTTTGTATGTCATTGAGAGTATTTAAATGATTTTCAATCAGGAAAAAAATGTGCGATTAAAATGCGATTAATCGCGAGTTAACTCAGGCATTGATGCGATTAATCGCGATTAAAAAATTTAATCGATTGACAGCACTAATATATATATATATATATATATATATATATATATATATATATATATATATATATATATATATCTTATAAAACTGTCTTATCTGGACGTGTTGTATATACTGTGTATATCCCATGCACTTTTTTCTTCCTTTGGCAACTTCTTCTTCTCTTTTTTTAAATATTTGAGCTGATGTAACGAGCAAATATCTCCACTGTGAGATCAATAAAGTCAATCAATCTATCAGTCAATAACGGGTGGGAAGAAAAAGTCGCAGCTAGCATCAGATCCACGTATGATAGCAGAAGGAAGAACTTTTTTACGCAAAGTCCTGCAACAATGGATTTTTTTTAAGGTCATAAAAAACTGAAAACCTTGAAAGAAATATCTATATGCTTGTGCTTAATGCAAAAGAAAATCCCAAAAAAGAATCGGAATCGCAATATTGGAAGCAAAAAATCACTATTAAGATATTTTTCAAAATGGTTCTGCCCTAATTTCCACCTATAAACGATCGATCGTTACATTAGTTGCATCGCAGATACTGGAATCAATCACTGCTGCTGACTCACATAATTATAATACTCAGCCTACATCTTAAATAGCCTTTTTTAAATAAATATATAGTTATACTCATTTAATTTTAAATCATTGTGTCTTCATCCTAATTTATTGCAGTGGATTTTATTCCTTTACTGCTTGTTATTCAGATGGTTCAAAACAGACCAAACTAAATAGATAAATATTTATCAAGCAGTATTAGAAATACTACATTTGGGTACCAAACTTATGTACATTGAATTAATTTCCCAAATGGTGCAAATATTAGGTAACCTTGATAAAGTTTTCTGCTTATTGGAGTTTTTTTGCCATCAATGTTGGTAGTTCAGTCAGTTGCAGCCATGGTTGCAAGTCTCTGATGAGTGTACACTCCGAGTCATTAAGCTTAGAAAGTCTGGAAAACGCGGCGCAGGAGACAAACGCCGCCGAGTATGTCTGAATAAGAAGTCGCTGGATCTCCATGTGCCGCATTTCTAGTTATATGGTGCATATAAATCCGTTGGAGGGGTGGAGACATGCAGGAAAACAGGAATGCATCAAACTGACAGGTACCCATTCACCATCAGCCAATATGTGGGATTTAAACCCCTGAAGTACTCTTTAGTGGAGCTTCTGTTTTCGTTTTTTTTTTCTAAGCCAGTTCAACAAGTGCTAATCATACGGGTTGGATGACTCCAGTGTGTAGCGTGTCACTAAGTGCAACAGGTGAATAAGGTGAGCTAACAGAGTGAGGCGGGAAGTTTTACCGACTGAAAGGATTTCTGTGGCACGGCCTGCTGCTCTGGGCAATCTGGAAGCGATGGAAACGACAGCAGAAATCGCTCCTTCTGAGGGTTTTCTTTTTTTTTTTTTTTGTCTATATGAATGTGCAGTTATGTGTGGAGCACATTGTGAGTGTTAAAAGAAGATATGGCTGCAATGATGCTGTTGATGTTACGGACTAAGAATCTTCACTCATGTTCAAAGTCGGATAAACCCTGATAGGCAGGATTTTAATGAACAGGTTCAACGTTCTCTAAAGAGTAGTTTAAGTTTATGAGGTCTTTCAAACTATTTCTAAAAACACCAGTTATTGATTTTTTTCCTTTTTTTTTACACTGCACTAGTGGCTAGTTTTTCTGAACAGTAGGCTGACAGGAAAGGGAGTATGAGAGGGAGGGAGAGACGTGGGAAAAGATCAAAGGCGGATTCAAACCCGGGTCGCCCACCTGGAGGACTAAGGCCTCCATACATGGTCATGTTCGCCAACCACTGCGCCACCAAAGCACGGCCATCACTTAATCTCAATCTTATACAAAGATAAAGTTTAGAAATGGACTCGTCAAACCTGGACTCAATACTTCTACTTAAAAAAACAACACAACAATTTGATTGTTAAAACCTGTGACACTGGAAAAAATCCAAATCTAGAGAAGTCATTTTTTCTTAAAATAAATGCATTTGTTCTTGGATTGAGGAGATGAAAGAGACATTTTACCAATGGAACACTACAATTTAGATTTAAAATTAGAAAAACACAATAGCGTTATCTTATTTCAAGTGCATATTATCTAATTATCTTATTTTAAGACTAAAAACACTCATTCCATTGGCAAACTATCGCATTTACCTACTCAAATTAAGGGTAAAAACACTTAATATAAGACATTTTTACTTCTTTCTAGATCATTTTTGCAGTGCGACATAAAAGAGCTGCAATTAATGTGATCAACCAACGCCTTATATTCTCCCATATTTCTTACAACAGGGGCTGAATTATAGATTCCAAGTAATTTTAATTCTATATTTAGTCTATGTATAGTTATTTTTTGCTTGAAATTAGATTATGTATATACAGAGACAAAGACAAAGATCAAGCATATTAACAGCGGTGATAAACCTCCATTAATTATCCCAGTTATCCTTGATTAACTTGGACCTTTCATCAAACACATCAAAAATCGTTTCCTTTTTTCAATAAAACATAAACCAGCAGTACGGTCTTTGATTGGCTTTGCTGGAAAGTTAGTTAAAAGTCGGATAAATGTAAAAAAAAAAAAAAAAAAGATAACTTTTTCATCACTTTGATTCAGAACTTTTAACTTCTACTTCTACCAAAAAAGACCTTGATGAAAAACATTCCTTATTTCCCAGTATCTGATCGCAGAATCTCCGTAGATAGAAGTTTGTTTAGAAAGCTGATTCTCTAAGATAACAGACTTATGGTCTGATTTAGGAAATTTTAATTTGCTTTTTGCCGCTCCAAGTTCTCTAATCTTTTAGAACTTTAACTTTCCCTGTTTCAACCAAACTGAGGAAAAGGTTTAAAGGCTGCTCCATTTTTTTTTTTTTTTTTTCAAAGGTGACATTTTCTCGCAGGTTCCTGAACTTTTGTAGAGAAGTGAGTAAATGACATTTCAGCTTTCGGCATTTTCAGGCAGGACTGGATTGGTTTAATGGGGGACCTGACAAGAGGGGCCAGAGAGGACATGCAACTGTTTTCTCAGAGAAGTTGGTGGGTTGTTTCTGTTGCTCTAACCACTTAGTGGAAATGTTGGCATCTTAGCATATTGCTTGTTGCAACACTGAGAACTCTCTTTGCATTTATTATTCTGTTGAAAAACCTACTATTTTATCTGTGTGAACAACTCCAGATTAATTCTTCTGTGGGAGCGTAATGACAGTGTAAGAACATACAGCTGCCTTTGATCGAAGTCTCCGGGGAGATGATTACATCGCGGTAGCGTTAAGAGTGCGTTCTCCAGCTGATGAATGTGTTGTGCTTCTGACTCAGAAGAGGCTTTCAGTTCCTCAAAAGCAGCAGTAAACAGACAGAGAACGAGGAAAAACGGCAGATTTGACTTTGGGCGATGCACCTGCACCCTTACTGCTTTGGTTTATTTTTTTCAGCAGTTATGGAAAACACTGAGATTTTTTTTTT